ATGAACGAATATTCTTTTGGTAACACAGATGACATCACATGCCCTCCTCTCAGTCATTTGATGGATATTGTCAATACTAATGTATTATTACTACTAGTAATTTATTAGGTATGACAAACGGTAGTGCCACGTAAAATATACTGCCACATATTAAAAAGGCTACTTCAAAGTTCATAAAATGTTATGTGCAACATAATCATTGGCAGTCCAGTATGGACACACATGTGCATGCATGCAGTATAAAGTCACCGGCAGGCTGTACGCACTGCACTGTACCGTGTCCGGCGTGCATGTATGTACAGACACTGCATTCGAAGTGACGTGACGAATACTCGAATGTGATTTAACGAATATTCGAATATGATAAACCGAACGAATGTTCGAATATTCGAATATTCGTTTCACCACTAATATACGTGCACGCTTACGGCGTGTACTCGTGTGGGTATCTGTCTCTTCCCCGTTGTATCCCAACATAGTCCATGTGCTGTAGAGTGAAGACCGGGTGTGTGGCGCATAATCCCCATCTTGGTCATTTTCATTGCTGTTATCAAGAGTAGATAAACAAGAGTGTGCAACTCCCGGATGGGTTGGCCCACGGCGGAAGTTTTTGTTGACGTAATCTTTTCTACGACCCACGCTCTGCGTATCTTTTGGAAAGTTTTTGCCTCGTGCACTTGGCCGGGCTTTACATTACAAGGTCGGCGCCGAGCGTGTGCTCTCACACTGCTCTGCGGCAAGATGCGCGTTTTTATGAAAAAAAGGTGACGTCAACAAAAGATTCCGCCCTAGGCGGGGGTATCTGCAGATTGTGCAGGAGAGATCCGGAGTTGCACACTCTTGTTTATCTATTCTTGCTGTTATGTGTAAGAAAGCCAGATGGTGTGGAGCTAGTGCACTTACAGGTGTGGCTGTACTTCTATTGTAACGATGGTACAGTAAAACCTGTAATGGCGACCACTCGGATATGGCAACCACTCGACCATGGCGACCACATTTCCTTGTCACGGACGCATCCACGCTCAAAATAGCTCGGATAAGGCGACCACTCGCTCAACGCGACCGACGACCACCCACCCGCGACCGCGCTGCACAGTGCTAGAACATGGAAATGTATGCATTGCATTGTGTACCATGCATGGTAGATCTACACATCAGTGCAGGAAGTGTAGCTGTGCATGGTGCATGCACGACACTTGACAGGTCCGAGGACTCCAGGCACATGAGCCGTGCTAGAGTAGCATAGATGTGTGCACTGTGATGCACTGATCAAAATGATGTATCACATGTGGATATGGTCACGTGACTCACTGAACCTGGATAGGAAGACCACCTGGCCACGGCGACTACTTGTTCTCGTCCCTTGAGGGGTCGCCTTAGACAGGCTTCACTGTACACCTAGTTAGGCTGTGTTTACATGAGAAATTTCCACCCGGGTCGAGTTCAGCCCGGGTTGAAAGTCTATACGATAGACAAAAGAGGTGAGCGTTTACATGAAGACAATTGACCCGGGTCAAATACTGATATGCCGCCAAAAGTCCACTTCTACAGTCCTGTATGGTCACGCACGTGAAACCGTTCGCGCGAAATTTGCATCTGCAGTGCCGCTCAAACCTGGTGCGAGATACGCACAGAAGTACGTTTGTACGATTTTCTTGACCCGGGTTGATTTCAACCCTCCCCTTGGGGGGAGGGTTGAAATCAACCCGGGGCGAAATTTCAACCCGGGTCAAGCGCAATGCGTCATGTAAACGCGCCATTCATTTTGTGCACATGGCGGGTTGAAATCTGACCCGGGTCGAACTCAACCCGGGTTGAAACGCTTCATGTAAACACAGCCTTAGGAGTGTGTGTGTGTGTGTGTGTGTGTACGTGTGTGTGTATGTATGTGTCTGTTTGTACGTGTGTGTATGTGTATGTGATTGGGTATGTATGTGTATATAAAATGTGTGTGTACGTGTGTGTGTGTGTGTGTATGCAGGTTGCAGCAGTCATTACGGAAGGCCTCCGTAGAATGCCAGCGGCTGTTGGAACAGCACCAACGTAGTGCTCTGCTTCATGCAGCTGAAACTGGCAGGTAAGGAACTACCCAGCGTCTGATGTATCTGAATGGACACAACCTGTGTTTGTCATGTAAACGTGTTCCAGTTCGATGTATAGCTGGTTTGCAACTACAGTACGACAGTTGTGCTTGGTGAAATTAGACCCAAAGTGCATATTTGGCACCCTCAACTTACACGGCCCGTGGCACCCTGGCAGTGGTAGGAATGCGGCTGGACGTACACATGTACAAGTTCAGTGATGTAATCGGAACTGGTCCAGGGCGTCAGCTTTGCACTTTGGGTCGGATTTCACCGAGCGCAACTGTAGAACTGACTCCGAAACACATGTAGGGTATACTCTTTGCGAGTGTAGGGGAATGACCTGAGTAGGTAGTTTGGTGCAGTCCGAGCGAGGGGCCATTGCAACTGGAATGGGTGGCGGGAAGCTGGTTGGCGGCGGGCTCTAGAAGTAGGTGCAGGCGTTGATGCCTTAGATGGTGGCGGGAGGCCTGTCAGCTTGGGCGGGCCCTCAATGTAGTGCAACTTGTACCCGTACAGGTAAGTAAGTCCGGATGAGATTGCTCTCCTGAGCTACAGACGCTGAAGGATCGTGCCAGGTCCGATGATCCGCATTGCCTTCTCCTGCACCTTGTTATAGCGTGCCAGGTGGTATTGGGCTGCACACATGGTGACTAGGGGAGCATACTCTAGGATGGGCCGGATGAACCCCTTGTACACGGCAAGGCGGCCCTCGTGGCCCAGAAGCCAAGCAGCACGGCGCAAAAATCCCAGACTCAGGCACTTCACAGCCACTGCATGGATGTGGCGCTGGAACCCAAGTTTGGAGTCGAATGTGATTTTCATGCACCTTCAGGTGGTCTGAGTCCAGAATAACCTCACCGGAAAAGGTGGTTGGTGGGAATTCAAGGCGCTCTCGAGCATTGCACAGAATGAGGCGCTGGCTCTTGGTCGGCTCAAACTGGATCCGCCATTGCTGGCCCAATGCGGCAAGATAGGTGAGGGTTGTCTGTATGGAGGCTGCGTAGCATTCTCAACCAACTGGTCATACTCGGACACCGAGCAGAGCAGAGCTCCCGAGACGTTGCGCATCAACACATCGTTCAGCGATCGTTGCGGGCCAGGAACTACAGCTTCCTGTTGCTCCAACGTAAGAAAAAAGAATCGGCGTCCGAACTCCAAATGAAGTACATGTAGTGTGTGCCTTCCCTGGTCTGGGTGTCTTGCAGTGTAGTGTGAATTTCAGTGTTACACCAATGCTGCTTCAGCATGGCATGCATGGGTAGACCACTGTGCAGTGTATCATGCAGTGTTCATGCAGTGTATCATGCAGTGTATCATGCAGTGTATCATGCAGTGTATCATGCATTGTGTAGCTACAAGACTACAAGGCACCCCATTGTAGACTGAGCACCCTGTACAGGACTTAGCTGACCCTGAACTTGAGGGTAGAAGACATAGGACCCTGTACAAGATTTAGCACCCTGGGCTTGACCTAGCATCCTGAGCTTGGCTTAGCACCCTGTACACGACTTAGCTAACCCTGAACTTGAGGGTACAAGACATGGGACGCTGTACAAGACTTGACTTAGCACCCTGTACAAGCCATCAAATCCTGTGGCTGTATTAGACACTGGACCCTCTTCCAGACATGGGGCCCTGTGCAAGACATAGCACCCTTGAACTAGACTTACCACTCTCTACAAGACAAGCATTGTATCTCTTTCCATTTTGGGGAAGACCATGCTGTGTGAAAAATCTACCCTTTACAAGACCGAGCACCATGTGTTAGACGTAGCACCCTGTGCAAGACTTAGCACCCCATACAGGACGAGCAGTGGATCTCTTTCTGTTCTGGGAAGCACAACCCCATGCTGTGTGAAAATATCAATACAATGCCTAGCACTCTGTAAAGAAAAGACTTAGAAAAGACTTGGCACCGTGGACATTACTTGAGTTATGGTCATGTACTGGGACTGGCATTACACAGTGGCAATCACGTTGTGACAGTGGGCTTGTCTGTGTTGTTACTGCATGCACTTCGAAGTATCTGAACAGGCGTTCCCAGCGACTGTGTTGAAAAAGGTTGTTTTGCTTGTTTGTGTTGGTGGTGGCTGCTGTTGCTGCTGTTGCTGCTGTTGCTGCTGTTGCTGCTGTGCTGTGTTAGCAATGCGGAAGTCACTGACAGAGCAGCAGCGGAGTCAACAACACGCGTCACGGACACCCTGTTACACCTGAGACAGACCATGTCGTCACAGGTAGCTCGTGATGAGGATATCCTGGAAGTTCTCGGTGGGTACTAGTACATCTTACAGCAACTACATGTATACGCTACTTGTGTAGAATTTAGATACGGGGGGGGGGGGGGGGGGGCTGGGTCTATGTGTATGTGTGTGTGTGTGTGTGTGTGTGCGCGCGCATGGGCCGCTGCCGGCCACATCCCGTGTCATTTGAGATTTTTGTGCTATGGACGGGGAGTGATGGCTGCGGGGTGCGAACTGCCTGCACTCTGCGGGCCTGTGTTCTGGCTTGTGCGTGCCAGTGGTTCATCTTGAAAACCCAGGCTGCATGTAGTCAACACCAGCTTATAGAGCAGGGCCTGCGTGGCCATACAGTCTCTTACCAATCCTAGCTTTCATGCAATGTCCCATACCTGCCAACCTGAGATCGGGACAATGGCATACACGTACCTAGGTATGAACATGCATACAAGTGTAGCTGTGAGGCATCCGACAAATGCACTTTTGGGTGCCTATTACCACCCTCGACATCGGGACGGTCCCAGCCAAATCGGGATAGTTGTAGGTATGATGTCCAGTGTGTAGTCCCAGGGCTGCTGTTGTGCCTTGATCAGTGAGCGTGGTGATGTTCCTACGCATGTGGAGAACTCAGTCTTCCTGTTGTCGGTCATGCCAACTATGGATGTTAGTAGCTAGCTCATAGAAAACAAGTAGCTCTCTCTCTCTCTCTCTCTCTCTCTCTCTCGTTCAAAACAGTGCGGACTGGGTATTGTGTAGGCCTTGTCCAAGTTCTCTCTCTTCTCCCTGTGTTCGTGTTCTGTGTTCAGGTAACTCGTCCAAGACTATTCAGAATGTTGATGGTGACCTACGTGGAGTGGGTAGTCTTGTGGCCCAGAGCAAGCATCTGGTGACTAAGTACGGTCGTCGGCAGGTCACTGACTGCATTCTCATTACACTGGCCTTTCTCATCTTCTGCGCCACCGTGCTCTATATCCTGCTCAAGCGCATATTCTAATCCCGTGTGTGAGTGTGTGTGTGTGCGAGAGAGAGAGAGAGAGAGAGAGAGAGAGAGAGAGAGAGAGAGAGAGAGAGGGAGAGTGTGTGTGTGTGTGTGTGTCTGTGCATGTGATGTGTGTTGTTATGGCTCCAGACCCGCTCACAACATACAGTGAGTGAGTTATAATTATGTGTGGTCGTGTTTCTTAGTTCAGAGCTTATAGAAGAGTCCTAGTTGCAAACTGTCTTTACTCAAATTTCTTGTACAGTACTTGAAAAATAGCCAGTATTCTAGTAGTCTTCTATCTCCGATGACTGGTTTAGCATTTAGGTCATCGCCATTCCAGAATGTTTGACCCTATGTTTGCGCGACGTGCTGTTTCGAAAATTGTTTATTCTGTAACATATTCAAACGCGTAAGGGATAAGAAGTTAGCAAAATTATTTGAATGCACCATGTGTATCGTCTATCAAACTAATCTATTTTTTTTATCCTTTCTTGATATTTTCGCTGTTGAGACTACTTGCTGTAAATGCTGCTGTTCTTCGCTTCCGCTTTGTACATTGCTGCTGCACTGCTCTGTTGTAGCCGTTGCTCTCATGTGCTTATGTTGTCTTGACGTTTTCACTGCGGCTTTTTTAAGTTATTTTTACATTAACGTCATCAAACGTTGTCGAGGTCCTTTGCCTGGTCTGCCGTGTGGTGTCCCCACTCAGTCACATGACCCACTTGTATTCATGTCACGTGATCAAGAGAATATGTGTTATGCTGTTCTGCATTCCAAGCAGGACCGGGTCCCTGACTCTACATAATTATCACAGAGGACCATGAGGAGATGTGTGTGTGACTGTGTGCTGTTCGGTTTGTAGTGATGAAAGGTTCATAGGGACATCTAGCCCTCTACTAGCAGCTGAGAGCACTGGTGGTCGTGTGGTCGTAACCTTGGACTGTTGGTCTGCATCTTTGCACAAATTGTAGTCTTCACTTCCCAGCTTCTGTGATACTTTTTGGTGTCTTTTCCAGCTAGAGCCTACATAGTACTCCCTGATTCAAAGCATGCATGGACAGAGGAGTGTAGTGGTGATAAGACTCAAATCTTGGTGCATGGTTTGCAATCTTGCATGTCTGTGTGTATGAAGCAGAACCATGGTGGTGGTGATCCTCAAGCACGCCAGTCATTTAGATCTATCATCAAGTACCCTTGCTATCATGCAGCTACATTGTATGTATACCAACAGTTCTGGATGGGACTTTGAACAACTGCATCATGACCAAGAACCGAGAGCGGCGGCCATTGTGGAAACAAGACACACAACCTCAGAATGACAAGGGAGCAGGGCAGCTGCGAACGCTTTTTGTACCGAAACTTTTGTGAAAATTTTGAACATACCTTCTTTCTAGAAGCTGAAAGCCACCGTCCCCACCCCATAACCAGCCTTTTACCTACTTTTAAATTATACCTATTCTATGTTGAGCGGATGCGAGGACAAAGGACAAAGACCACAACCCTGTGGTTATGGCGACACGGACAAGGCACAGCCTTTCGGCACTGTGATCGTGCAGAAAGTACATGCACTCAACGTGCGCGCGCGCATACACACACAACGTGACGTCAGGATGACGTAGCACCATAGCAACCAGTGGAAATGTGCGGAGAAAATCTGAAGCTAATAATAAAATCAATAGAATGATGTGTCTTCTTGGCTTGTTCTACGAGGTTACATTGATGCATGTGTACGGAACAAACTTGATAAAGACTAATCTGCCTTCATCCCTTGTTTTAATACTAAAAATTATTATGGACTCGGATGGAAATAAAAAATAATTATTTTCACATAACAGTGTCGCACACAGAGTGCATTGCCATTGGTGAGTAAAAAAAGAAACCCAAGGGCTATACAGCCTATAAACAACACACATAGTGAGTGGCACTGCCGCTATTTCTTGCACAAATGACAGCACAGCTATAAACAGAAGCATTGCGAGGGCCCATTGCACTGCTTGTAGTCAGCCAATGCAATCAGCATTTTGCATTATATAATACCGCTAGCGGCTAGAGGCTGTACCACTAGCGACAGTCACACACACACACACACCACACACACACACATTGTAAAAAAGCAGTTGAAGCAAGATACACAAAAGGTCGCCTATTGAACAATCCATTGCAGGCACTGTGGGCAATGCGCGGTACTCATCTGGACATGAGCCACTCGTCGATTATGTCGACCTGCAGTGCGTTCCGCACACACTCACCTGTTCCCGGTGACCAGAACATAATAAAGTCCATCTGCTGCAGAGAGGATGAGACAAACGTGACAGCGCACTCAGTAGCTTAGCTTGCGTACTCTCGCCGCCTGTACTCCATCTCCGACCGATCAGCCCTAGTCCGATGCACCTGTGGCACAGAAAGCAACCACATGCGTACAATGCACTGTTGCGGACATTCGAATCCGTTGAGAAGTCAAGCGGCCACGGTGCGCTGGCCTTGCAGCCGTGAGCACTGCCGACCCATGTGTTTATAGTGTGTACATGAACAACAGCGCAGGTAGACTCTATGTGCTAAAAGCAGTGAGGCCTGATGGCCGATTCATACTTCATTTCGCGTACATACGGGAAAGCCGTCGCGCGATCGTCGTGCGATGACTTTCCCGTACGCGACATAGTTGAGCTCAAGTCAACTTTTCCGCGATGCGAAGCGTTT